AGAAAGAATTTCTTAATTAAATCGTCTAGTAAACTCCCATTTTATAAAGACTTCAGAACACACATACTCGATCAACTAGCCGGACTAACCGATTGATTTAACGAGATCGATTTCGTAACCTAATTTCTCCAGGAGAGCGCTTATTGCATGTACCAACCATCAAACGGGTTGGCACTTTTCTTTCCAGTACTTAAGCAAAGTCAGTGTTGATTTGAAAAAGAAAAAAAAATGTACAATAACGCTCCTCTTTTTTATCTTTATTATTAAAGTTTTGTAAAAAAAAATGATGTTTCGTTCTTAAAGGGTTGGAGAAGACACGTCACATTGTCATTTGTACGCGAGAAAAGGGTCTCCACGGGCTCTATATTCTCAGTTGTTTATTGGATGATATGTTCGCAATTTAGAGCGGATACCACAGTTTGCATAGTATTAAAACATATGTGATGATATCAGGTTTTTAAAAATTCTGAGTTAACAATTTTTTTTTCTCGCGATGTTAATTTTAACAGATAAATTACAAACAAGTCAGTACAACTGTCAAAATACGTTTTTACAAAGACATTAACAAAGGTAAGTTATGGGTACCGGTGAATAATGTTGAACAATCAGTTTTACAAAACTTTGTGGTGATTTCTTAAAAATAAAAATTTTCTGGGCGTGCAGAAAAGCATTTTGTATTTTGGGGAAATTACCCTGTCACTGTCGTGAATATCTAAAAAATTCTCTGAAACATTAAAGGATCAATAAGTAGTGTTCATTTTTCTGAAAAAGCGCGGTGTTACAATTACCAGGTTTAAGTTGAAATCGAAATATTCTAAGAAACGAATAGCGCTGATAAATTTACGAGATATTCCCAAGTCATTTTTCCGTAATTTCATTTCATGGAAGTCAAGTAAACGTGATGGGGCTTAGCAACGTATACACCATATACGAAACACTCGTGTTTTAAGTAGCCAAATCGATAAAACATAGCTTTCACCCTTCTCTGTGCATTCGTTATAACCTACAGTATCTATTTAGCTGGGGTCAAGCCTGTTTTCTTACAAGGTAAAGGATTTGTTAAACTGAACAGCAGTCTCGTGTAGTGAGAAAGGGCGGACGTGTAACGTGAAGCGTGTATTGCAATGTAATATAATAGATACTTAGTGACCTCGCTTTCGAAGTTGCTCACGTATTTACTAACGCTGTTTATTGTTGATGACAAAAATCGCATTAGGCTTCTTACCGTTGTTTTTTTATTTATCTACTTTTTTATCATGAGACTGAAACGTAAAAAGTCTGTTGCCAGTAACTAAGATATTCATTACCAAAGTTTGGGTGTATTCGCTATTCAACATCATACGCCGGTTTATCCTGTCATCATTGTGACACAGCTGATGAAAATATTGGTTATTATAGGAGGTGTTATGGAAAATATCTTTAGATGCTGTCTTTCTTTTTCACAAGTCTTAGTTTTGGGGATTATTTACCGTTACATGGGCAAGCGTCAAATTAAAAAAAAAATTGAGAAAGGCACTGAAAAAATTCTTAAATTATTAAGTCATTTCACTAGACTTAACAGTTTATCATATAAAGAAAGAATATACAAATTATTAGTTAATTCAAATAGGCTAGGCCTTCAAATATATCTTTCATTCTAGAGTGTTAAACTCTTCCCCAAGTTTAGCATTACAATGCAGTGAGTGTAAACTTCTCAGTAAAATATGAAGACATTTTCTTATTCTGTAAACAGTCTGCATACTTAATATCAATAAATACAACCATTTATTAAATGTTTCAAAATTGTCTTAATTCCATCATCAGTTTTCCGAAAAATGAGTCGATTACTAAATACAACTATTTACAAAGTAAATATGATAATCTGAACTTGAATCAGACTGGACCAAACGATCATTTATAAAATATTAATAAAGCCTACCAACCACCTAATATATTTTGTTAAGAAAACTAAAAACATTTTCATCATCATCTCCCCTGTAGACTGTAGAATAACGAAAATATTACTCTCAGTACAAAAATGAATGCCTTCTAAGATACACCAAGTTTCTATTAGAGTTCCATAAAATCAAATATGTAAATAGTTTCACTATCCTACATTTTTATGGTATTAAAAAGTATTTGAAAGATAAAATCAGGTGTATACCTTAGTTAAAAAGATAGTGGATAGCCTTATTTCATAATCATAGAGGGAAACTTGCTAGAACTATTTGGAAAAAGATAAGCTTTGCCATTGTTTCGTAATAAGGGAAGCGATATGCTAGAACTAACCGTAAATCTGTTTGCTTGCAATCACCACTTTCTTAATGAGAGAGGTCAGTGAATACAACTTAGAAGCTGGTTGTTGAGTCTCCATTTTTGTAATGAGAAAAGTCAATCCTGGAGATAGTGTGAAATGTGATACAGCTTTAAAACTGGTAGTTGATGAGAGAGAGGTCATTGCTATGTTACAATTTCAGTTGAAGTTTGAATTCACGATAAGCTATGTAGATACCGTGCCCTGTTCATATCGTTTATAACCATGCTTTTACAAGTGGTGCTATCTATTTGTTATGGCTCTTTACAGTTATGTTGTTAATTAAAGCGCTACTTTCAGTTTGATAAGATCTCTCATAGCCTCCCCTCTGATATGTCATTTTCTCATCTTTTACACATGGTTTGGAAACGCTATGAATTTATTCAGAAATAATTCCGGAGCATTTAATATTCAGAGATTTTAAGGTAATTTTCTTACCAGTTACAAGAATGATTTTGTTCCCCAAGGTAAGTAAGAATGAAACTAAGTATGTTCATAGTGGATTTTATTTGCTAGCTATACATTTATGCTCACCTGTAATGAAAGAATAAAAAGTAATGGGAAACCTGATGGGTTTATAAGTGAAATTTTCTTGTTTGTAATTAGACGAATTTATTCATGCAAGGGAGGTTTAAAATATAAAATCATAGTGTAGTAAGGCAAGTTGCACATCTTAACTCTTTGTAGGTTAGATTTTTACTGGTAAAAACTAACATAGCATGTTCTATATTTTATTTTATATTTCATACAATCAGTTAATGAGAATATAGAAATGTTTGACTTGACTTTTAGGTTAGATTTTTACTGGTAAAAACTAATATAGCATGTTCTATGTTTCTTTATATATTTCATGATATCAGTTAATGAGAATATAGAAATGTTTGACTTGACTTTTAGGTTAGATTTTTACTGGTAAAAACTAACATAGCATGTTCTATGTTTATTTATATATTTCATGATATCAGTTAATGAGAATATAAAAATGTTTGACTTGACTTTTAGGTTAGATTTTTACTGGTAAAAACATGAAATATATAAATAAACATAGAACATGCTATGTTAGTTATCAGTTAATAAGAATATAGAAATGTTTGAATTGACTTTTAGGTTAGATTTTTATTGGTAAAAACTAATGTAACATGTTCTATATTTCTTTATATATTTCATGTTAACAGTTAATAAGAATATAGAAATGTTTGACTTGACTTTTAGGTTAGATTTTTATTGGTAAAAACTAATGTAACATGTTCTATATTTATTTATATATTTCATGTAATCAGTTAATAAGAATATAGAAATGTTTGACTTGACTTTACTGTGAACAGAGTTTGCCTGATGTCTTGAGATAACCAAAGTTTCTGCTTGTTAAGTAAGATTTTAATGAACCTGAGACCTTGTAAAAACTTTAACATAGAGGTGAACTTCATTTGCTCATAAGATCTCACGGGCTTCTTGAAATTCCAGTCAAAATGTTCTCTGTACAAGCACATAAGCAATAAGTTGATTTAAGTTATTTCTAACCTTTTTTTGGTTTATTTTACATTTTTTATTGTGCTTTGGTAATACATTAATAACTATGTTTTCATGTTTATTGGCTTTATTTTTACAGAAAAATTAATTAATAATTTTACATATGATTAGTGAATTTGTCACTAATATGCTTTGTGTGGTTAGTGTTTGAGCCAAATTGTAACACTCTTCCTCCATTTGTTCCCAGTTTTAATATACATATTTTTATATTTTGATATTCATTTGTTTATACGTGATATGAGTATTGTTTGTTTTTAATCGGTGGAAGAATGTGTTTTATGGTGGTTGAATCTTTGGTATACTTCTCTTTTGCCTGGAATAAGCCAACAAAACTATCTTTAGTGAAAAAGACTATTTTTACAGGAGCTCTCTTTCTATATGTATTCCTTTTTGAAAGCAACAATAAAAGTCTATAGTAAGTGTGGAAAAATAAGTTTAAGAAATTTGCTTCTAATGCTTGTTCAAAAGTTCAGAAAGATTCTAACAGGATTCTTTTAGAAAGTTCACTTCCACAGCTACATCTAGCTGGTGGGGTATAAATGTACGTATCATTTTGTAAGGACATGCAGCATAAAAGTAATTTATTGGGGTACTAGTTTAGTCAAAATATTAAGATTTTTCAAAAAATAGTAAAATAAAAACTTGGTTATTTTAGTTTGTTACAAAGATTGGTATAGTCTTGCATATATTGCAAACTGCAGTTTCTGTCTGAGTGTTCATCTGTATCCTGTTGAAAAGCTGCACACGCAGGCAACGTTCAACATTCACTTTTGAAGTGACTGGAGAACAGGCAGGAATAATGTTGATACCAAATTTTATTTCTCAAGCACGATATTCTACACTAAATTGTTATGAATTAATCACTCTATTATTCACATTTCAAAATGTGACATAACTTATGGAATAAAAATGTAGATTTACCGTATGTTATTGTTGAGTGGCTCTTAGCATGATTGAAATGTTCAACAATTAATTTTCTCAGTAGGTGGTATAAGTAGCTCGGAGCTTTGGCTCTGAGTGAAACCAAGAGTGCAACACCATTAACCTTTTTGAAGTCCATGAAATAATTTAAATTGATAGATTAACTTAAACTTTTCCCGTCACTGGGGACGGGTACTTTTGCTTGTAAGTTATGTTAAAGGAAGTCAAGCTACTTAGATAATGTTTTTATTGGTAGGTGTTGGCATTGTCTTGATAACTGTCAGTGGAGCAGCATGGAAACTGACATCACATGATGCTCCATCTTGTCGTATGATGTTTGGAATACAGTCTGAAAACCCTGAACCCAACCGGAGGTTTGTCCCTCGGATACGTCCAAACGGTCGTCCACAGCACCCATATGGCGGTAAGTTTATGAGATTTTCTAATTATACTTCCACATGCAATATATCTCTGAAAACATAAGATTCAGAAAAACTACTCATCTGTAAACAGAACTAAAAGCAATTATCTTGAACCATTGCCAAAAAGCTTTTGGGCATGTGCCAATCTTTGGAATGATTTTCCAACTGCTACACATATTGTGTCAGTTGGTAATGCAATCATTAGACTATAGCCTTCTACCAAGAGGAGAGTGACGTCTTCCATGAACATTAGCCCGTTTGAGCCCATTGTGTCTTACCAAAAGCTCATTCTTGATTCGGCTTTTAAATACACCAGAAGTAGAGAGGAAATTATACTCGCCTCTTTCCAGAACTTAGAAGTAGAATTCCACATTGGTAAGATGGTGAAGGGACCAATGTAGATAAAAACATGAGTTTTTGTCTCAGAATATTGCAACAGGAATGTAAAAACTCATTGGATATGTCACCCACAAGGGGTGGGAAATCTTCCTCATCTCACTTCCCTTTTTTATCTGTCTTCTCAAAAGTGGTTTATCCATTTCTATGACTACCAGTTACAGAGTTACTTTGTCAGTGACCTTTAACCATTTCCCTGATCATTCTTCCGTTCTGATAGGCCTCTTCTGAGCTTTTCTGATCAGTTGTCCTGTGGTCACTATTTATTGTAACCGGGAGCCAGCACAGTCCCCGAGGAAAACATCCTCACCAAGCCCTCTTTCTCTCTCGTTTTTTAACAATTTTTAGTTGTTTTTAGCTCACTGTATAAGCATAAAAATGTGCTTTACAGCATAACCTGGTTTCATCCCCCCTGTTGGCAGGCCTGATAGTAACCGATTTCTTAGTATATCAGTGTGGGACCTTATACAGATGATAGAAAAGTTCTGTTCAGTCTATGCATTTCTCTGGTGTTCTCTGTGCAAATTATTCCATCCCATTTTCTTCTAGTGTAGTAAAAGGAGGACTCTTTCTTCCACAGTTCCAAGCTGCAGTGGAAGTCGGTATGAAGGGTTCTCATTCGTATCGGTGTAAGTCAACACACACCCCAATCGGAAGTAGGACATGGGTGCTTACCTGGAAGAGAAGTACAGGCCACCCCCCTCCACTAAGAATAATCAGACTAGTCACGGTTGTTATGCATTCTTGTTGGGAGCAGGTCTGAGATGATTAACTCCTGCACCTACTTATTCTGGTCAGTTTCCACGTCTTTCTCACATAATATACAGCTAGATATTGTCTTAGCCACACACATGCCCTGCCAACCACTGAGATGAACACACCAGTGGAGCAGTCATGTGACACTTCAGCACCCCACAGGCGGTTCTTTTGTCAGTACCCCTTTCTCTACCACCTTTATTGGGTAAAGTTTATTCCCAGCACCAGATTTTTTATCCTTCTGTCGCTATATTTTCAGAAAGGAGCTGATCTTTTTTTAATTTTCTTTATATACTCTGATCCCTTCACCATCTTATGAAAATGGGATTGTAGTTCTAAGTTCTGTGGAGAAGTGAGTAATATGAGAAATATGTGATTAATATTTTGAATAAATGACCTTCTTCAGGTCTTGATGAACGTTTTTAACCAAAGAGTTGATTGCATATTTCTCTCTGTCTCTTTTTTTTTTTTTCAGCGGCACATCTTCAGATTATATCATGCTATGAGAAATCGTAAGCCTCACTTAATTTTTATTCTGAAATATGTATCCCACTCAAATAATTCTATATCAGAACTTTTCTGTATGCTTTACAATGTGATGGCATATTCTGTATTTTATTCTCAAAGGAGAACACACCTTTAATTTTTATTATAGGAAAAAGTTTTCCATTTCATTTCCGAACATAAAACTTATTTTTATGTTGTTGCTATACAGATTATTTTTATTTTTAATGCTAATATATCTTCCTTAGCCATGATGTATCCAGAATTTCAGTACCGGCCTCCTCCTCCCTCCTACCAAGCATCTATGCAGGAGTATCGATTGCGATTGTTGCTACTTGATCGACCATCAGGAGTGAACTCTTCAGCCCTGTCGCCCATCTCACCCCCACCCCCTACATATCGATCATATCCAGTTAGCACATTACAAAGGTGAGCGTTTGTTTTAAAACCAGGTAATGATTTTTATCAAGATTTGAAAAGCCAAAAAACTCACTGAATGCTATATTTTTTTCCTGATTTTGTTGTAAGGATACCAAATATAGTATTTGGTAATTAGTATGAATAATAATAACAATTAAAAAATTAACTAACCAGTAATTAGATTTGTACATTATAGCTACTACCTCTAACAGTGATAAAACAATTACAAAAGTAATTGTTATGTCAATATTTGTAACTGTATTTAAAAAGTGAGTAAAGAGAAGTGGGAGTTTTTATTTAGTTGTGTTGTTATATTCCTCAAACAAGTTGCTTGTGAAATGTTATTTCAGTAAATACATTAGGTACTGAGTGCCACAAAACATTGAGAATCATTAATAAGACTTGAAAAAAATTAATAATTAGTTAACTCATTGTACTTAATCTTTAATTATTTGGCTAACTTTTGGCCATTGTAAATTTTATTGTACTTTGTGGACTATACCTGTGATATTTATAACCAGTTTTATTCTTGAGAGCAGTCTCTTTTTTTTGTTTTCCATGATTGACATTTGTATGTAATGAATAGTAATATATAACTAAGTTGAAGAAAGTATGTGATATTTTATAACTTTCCTTTTCATCAGGTTGTACAAACTACATTGTACTTACTTTTATAGTGCCTAATAATGGGTGTTTCACACTGTGACACTTTCCTTTTCATCTTTTGTATATAGTTCTTACTTTAACAACTCTTAATAATGGTGTTATATCAGGCTGTGACATTTTCCTTTTGGTCATGATGCATATAGGATACTTTATATATATTTTGACACTAAAATGTTCATCTTACAAGTAAGTGACTTGAGAAATAAAGCTCCATTAGTTTTGAAGCATTTATCAGTTTATTGGAAAATATAGATAGTCACAATGTATTTAACTGAATTGATTTAATTTTTTATTTGACTTAAATGAAGAAATTTCTAAAGTGCACAGTGTGGATAAGAATTTTTGTTACCCACCAATTATCCAGTTGAATATTACATATTCTAACAAGTTGTGAAAGTAAAAAAAAAAATAATATCTCAACCATACTATATTTGCTATATCCAGTGACGACAAGACTTTTCACCTAATGCCAGGGTCAATACAACAGACACAGTAGTGCTTGAGATGCTGTTTATGTTATTGTGGTCTATATTTTTAATGTTAGCTGGAGGGTGCATGATGTGAGGATCAAGTAATTTTGTGAGAGTAAGTCTAGAAAGTTCTAAATTTGATGTCACAAAAATCAAGTAAATTTGGGAAATATTTAGAGTCCAGAGTATATTCCAAATACGAGAATCAGTGAAGCATTGAGTCTGTGTTTTGCTTTCATGAATGAATAGAGAATGAGTATTGAGTTGATAGAGTGTCAGTTGTAGTTGAGTATTTTGCTTTGAGCTAGCAGTGAAGAGTTTATTTTCAGTAAAGTATTTGGATCAGTTTTTGTTATTGTGTGTATTCAGTTACTCGATTGACTGGCTGCGAACTTGTACAAATATTTATGTCAGTATCGTTATCGAGATAATTTTGTTTGAATGTAATTTGTAAACTTAAGCCTACAACATCATACAAGTAGAGAAATGTTAAGAAAGAAATGAACTAATTTGTTATCATTATATAGACTGGACTACAAAGAAAAAAATAGTATTACAACAATATTATCAAATTGCATGAACAACAATTGATGTGAGCTACATTAATGATAATGGTGAGGCTTCTAGTAACCACGGCCAAGCTGCCAGTTGTAATTGATATTGTACCCTTGAATTTCTGTCTCACAAATCAGCTCATTAATAAACTTGCATTTGTTTTATGTATAACATTCACCATTGTATATTTCCATCTCTGTCAATCTGTCTATATATATACAGTGCTTTTTTTGTAAAAAGAAAAGGTGCCAGTACTCGTATGTATGTAAGAAATTAAGAGATGAAAACATACTGAATTGCTCTTTTATAGAAAATTCCAAATTTTCATCATGTTCTCATCTGATACAATATCCCGACTCTGTTCCTTCTTTTGGTGTCTACTACTGAGTGACGTTTTTAGAGCAACAATGACTATGTATATTTTTTTGGTCAAAGCATGGAAGGGGCGGTTCAACAAGTTCAATAAACAAAAGTGCCAGAAACGGTTTTTGTCATCAATGAAGCTCTGGTTAGGGTGACAATCAAATTCATCTGTGAAAACCCTCATTTACATTCACTGGAAGAAATGGGAATAGTACTCAGAGCATGTTTAAAATGCTGCAATTTTTCTGGAACCATCTTTTCAATCAAATACTGACGAAATCCACGAAGCATATCTCTTTCATTTAGATAAAGTCTTATTGATAATTTTCTGACCTCCATCTTGCCAAATGTTAAATGAGCATCAGTGTTTTCAGGCCATTGTTTTTTATCAATCACGTGTGTACATTGTGCTATATCGCCGTCTTCACTATCCAGCAACCTATTGTCGATTGAGTTTGTCAAGGTTCAATAAAAGGCTTCCAGATTAAATGGAGAATCATTTTTGTCGTGAAGTGAAACTCCTCGGAAGTGAAGATTTTTGGTAACTTTGGCATCATTTTTATAATATGGGCCTGGAATCAATTGCCTTTCTTCAAAAATTTGTACAAGAGCTTTTATCTTTTGATCTGCCTTGTACAAGTCTATGTCGCACTCTTGTAAGTCCAAACTCAATTTGGATAATATTGGAGAGCATTACACATCAATCCTAGATCCAATAGAAATTCTGTGTTTGTAATTTTTGCTGTAAGCCCTCATATGCACATTGCTCTTTTTTGTCTTTTGTTGAATCATGCTTTGCTACTTCGAAATGTTGCACTAACGCCTCATAGTTTTTTCAAACAGCTGAAACTGACCAAAAACTAGATGCTCCCTAGCTGAGTGCTTAAAATTCAGCCAATTTGTAAAAGTTGAGTCTCCAGCAAGTTCGTGCATACTTTCAGTTCTCTGCTATTTTTTAGGCGACGCACGATACAAGACATAAAGATTATCAATAAATGTTTTAAATATGTTGATTAGCACAGTGCCACACAACTACAGAAGGAAATTTGTCTTTCATCAGTTTCTTAACTCCACTTTTACTCCCCAATATCATGGCTGCACCGTCACATGCCACACACAGTAAATAACTTTTCAGGTAGTCTTCATTCATTCCGTAAGACTGAAGACAATCGAGTAAAGACTCAAAAATTCCTTTTGCAGTCACATTTTCAAGTTCGATCAAGTCCAAAAATAAATTTACCTGCAAGTTCATTCCATTATCCAAGATACAGATTCAAACATTTACTGTTAAGGTAGATTTTTTTACTCAAAGTTGACTCGTCGATTATCAATACAATTCTAATTTTCGATTCAGTAACTATATTAATTAGTATTTTTTTCATTTCATCACTAATGTGATTCACGATGTTAATACATGCCTTTGTTGAGTGAAGGATATGGCCCATATCAATTCCATTTAGTTCTTGTAAATCTATTTCAGTTTTAAAATTATGAAATGATTGGTTTTCGTTTGCTATCTTATATGCTGTGCAAAACATTCTTGCGGTAATCACTTTTTCATGAGATAATGCTTTCAAACACACATTTTCAATGGTCTCTCTCTCAGTTTCAGCCAAAAAATTTTCTGCAGCTGTAAGTCCCATGATTTCCTTGCGATCAAAAAGTTTTTTCTGCAAAGACAGAAGCTGTTCCTGTCGACTTTCACCAAAATAAGTTATTTCATTGTTGGCCCATTCTTTAGAAACTTTCATTCCTGCCTTCATTTCCACTCCAAAAGTTCCAATTTTATGGCAAGATGTACAGCCAAGTTTATTATTTCTAGTATTCACCCATTCATACTTCCTGCAAAAATCTGTTTTTTGATCGGCAGTCCAGCAGCTTGGCCTGTCGTTGTCAGATAGCTCTTGGACACTGGATGGACCAGTAACTGATGCTGTTAATTCCTGTTCTTGGGTCACATATTCAAGCTTTCTTATTCACAGAAGGTGAAAATAAATTTGTAATTCGTTTCATTTTTACGTTTGTGTGTTTTCTCAAGATGCAATAAAAATAATTACTATTGCGTCAGCGAGGTCACGTGACTAGTGTCACGCCACGTTTCTGGAAGTATCTTGTTCCTTCGTGAATGCCCTAGCATTTACTAGATATAGGGTAGTCTGGTATATATAAGATGGTCATAACGTGACGGGATAATGTGTGTAGGTAGTGAGTAATTGAACTGCAGTCAGATAGTATTGTTGAAGTTGAGCACGTTCGTTGTTATAGCGCGACTGTTGAAAATAAGTGTATCGGTAAAGTTGTATTCGGAAAGAATAAACCAGTTTTATTAAGTAAGGACTTGTGTCGCTAAAGTTTCGTCGGAACGAAGTTACAGAAAATCAACTAACGACTGGAGGCGTAACAATACACTCCTAATCATGATAAAATCAAAGCACAGTAGAAGAGAAATGCACACCTGCTCAACTTGGCATCAACTTATTCTCAAGACTTACACACACACACATTTTTATTTCGCCTGAGAAGGTGCTGTGCGATTAATGATGTCAGTTATCTTCGTCCACTCTGTGACTTGTTTTATTTGAACAAATGTACAGTCCAAACCTGCATACCAGTCAACTCGGCTTGTGGTCACCTGTTTCCCAGTCCCAAGCGATCTCTTTGAACTCAGTATTGAGTCCACCTAGGATGGATCTCACCTGCTGCTGCCAAATCAAAACCCATCAATCAAAGCGAGGTCATTACCGTACATCAACTGATAACGGCCATTATTGGCCGCTAATCCTACCTGATGCTTCACACCTCATACTGCACTGATGATTACACATACATGATCAAATAAACAGTATGTTTTCACACTCCTTTAAACTTTGGTGTCTCTTTGGTCTTTTTGTGAACAAAAGATTTGTTCAAGGAGGAAAATTTGCACATAAAAAATGGTGCTGGTACGCCGTACTGGTGCATACCATCTCAATAAATATATAAAGATATTTTAGTACACTTATGTTTTCATATATGTAATTGTTTTGGTAGAATAACTACAATCTGATGAGATCATATGTTGTTTTTTTCATAGAATTCCTCACCATTTCCTGGAACAAGAGTACAGTCAGCCTCCAAGTTACAGGTCTCGGGCAAGTTCTGCCCAGATTTATTCAGACATGCTTGAACCAAGGCATCTCACTACTCATCGAGAGAATGGTAATGGTGGAGCTCCTAGTCATCACAGCCAGGCTGACAGCTGTAATCGATCATTTACGCTTAGCTTTCTGTCTCATGAATCTCTCTTTCCTGACACAAGCCGCCCCCGTCCTCTTCATCCTCCTCAGGCTAATCAGCCGGTAACATTTACTAGTCCCAGTGAGGAGAGTCGAAACTCTGTGATTGGTGAGCTCACCGATGATAGTCCAGTGGCTCCTGCTCTGCCCCCTAGAATGTCGAGGTCTCTTCGTGTGCGAAATGAACAAAGTTTACGAGGTGCTTGGAAGAACAATGGTGCAGGGACCAATGTGCAGAATAATCCAGGTATTGTAAACCATGGTGCTGTGATAGTGTCTGTTAATGAGCCAAACACTAACCATACTATGGTGCCATCCGGTGACAATTTTGGGGGATTATGCGAGATCCCAGAACGTTCACTTGTTTGAGCAAAATGCTATCAGCAGCCAGTATCTGTTGCTTTTCAGATTTGGTGCAGGAAACTTTCCATACTAAAAATAGTTTGGAATTATATAATTATTCTAGTATCGGTTTTAGTTACCAAAGTAACAATTAATTTCTTCTACTTGTGTGTTCAATAAAGCATATCACATTTTTGTTGTCATGAACAGTATTTATCTTCCCTTTTTTATATAACTGCAACATTTATTAGATGTAAGAATAGCTTTAATATTACTTTATCCACCATTATAATATACACAGTGGCTCACTATTGTGCTGCATCCTGTGAAAGGAAACAGTCGGGGCAGTAAACTCGTGTGTGCACAAAAATAGCCAAAATTAAATAGTGTAAGCATTGCTATTAACATTCTTAGTGAAGTTGCCAAAAGAAAGAATAGCCAATCACTGTTTCAGACTTGCTACATACAAATATCTCTGAAATGGTTTGATTAGCTGCTATTTTTTGTTCGTAGTGACATACGATTTCTACTGAATGGTATTTTAAATAAAAGTATCAAAAAGCGTGAGTATAAATTTTCAAAAATTAACAATCAGAATATTTTCTGTAGAGTGTGCTTTACCCGATCTCAGAATTTAGTAGTTACAGTATTCGATTCACTAGCTTGAACTTCAAGAAATAAGAAGGTATGTTCTGTAGAAATATTGGCAATGTGATTTGCCAGATGTGTGCTTTATTGAATGGTTAAGGTACACTACATAAACTTAAATATACCATCGTAAGAAAGCTTTATAAAGTTACTAACTGAATAGTTTCTGTTGAAAAAGAGTTTATTTAATACCTTGTGCGCATTTTCTGAAATATTCCACGATAGCATACTAAACAGTCAGTCTTGTTTATTTTCATATACCTATATATACACACACACACACACACTTTCGTAGGTAAAAATTATCTGATTCATTTTGCAGGAAAGAAAGCTCACATTATTTTTCAACATAAATAGTTAAAATATCAATTGACTTGCATATGATTTTTGAGTGAGTGATGATATGTATATAACCTTACTTAATAGATATTTTTTTCTCTCTTATTACTTGTAAATATTGAACATAATATAAATTTTTCAAGTCTTTTTACTAATGTAACTATCATTTTCACTTATATAGTATTGAAAAGGCAGTGGTACCTGAGTTGATGAAGTCTGAGGACTTTCTAAGCTAGGATTTTTTGCAAACATGTAAATAAATTAAATGTGAACTGTACATTTTGATGAAAAGTAATTATAAATCACATTTGTTAAGTACAGTGTTTACCAGCCAATTCATCCTTTGCTAGTTAATAAAAGATTGCTTTGTTTGTTTGGTGTGAAGATTCGCTTGTACAGACAACAGTCACTCATTATTACAAACACTACAATAGTGTAAACATGTATTTTTAAGTTATTGCTTAGAATGAAATGTATATATATATATATATATATACATTTTTCTGTATATAGTGTGAATCTGGATTATGCAGGTGTGAATTATATCTTTATGAATTAGAGCAGAAATGTAATAATTCATAATGTGCATCAAAGTAAAACTTCAGCAGTGTGTCAGCTTGTGTAATGAATAAAAATCTTGGATATATGTTTACCGCAATGTGAATTAAGGAAGTTGGGTTGCAGGCATGAAATGAGTAACTGTCTTAAGGATAATAACCAGTTTATTAAATCATTGTGATTGGTGATTCATTGAATTTAATGCAGCTTTCTTTTTTCATAAGTACAAAAATATTTATGGAGCATAAACTACAACACACTAATATAGAAATTAAAATGAGCAGTTGTTATGTGTATTTTGCGTTGTTATATTTTTTTCCCAACTGATTATCTGTGTATATATTGTTATTGTTTTCTTAGGGCACAGCCTATATTTTTTTAACTTTTTCTTGTTTCGAAAGATTGGTTCAAAACTATATGCACATTACACACTGTAGAAATTGACATATTTAATATTTAAAAACATTTATATTTGAGTATCTATTAATACCTAACCTGTTCATCCAACACTGGGAATTAATCGGTGTCTGCAATTTTGTTTCTCTGTTTGTGAAAAAAGTGTGGATGTGGTGAACTTTAAAAGTTGAAAGAACTGATGGTGAAACAGTCTACATGATGATACACTGTAGTATTTATATAAATGTATTTTTACATTGTTGTATTTAGTTGCATTGTTACAATTACTTTGTTTTCTTTTTTGTGAAGTTATTGTACCTCATGTAGCACATTGGTGCAGGAATAAATACTCATTTTTTTCTGATCTTCTGTAGTTTTTTTATTTGTAATGTGGAAAACAGAGCCACTACTGATACATGGGCGCGAGCAGAAAAGTTTGATGGTTCTGAAAACTACCGACTCTACTGACAGTACTCGCCATTAGAGCTAGGTGTTTGAATCGATAAAATTAATTACTTATGAGCAGCAATGTGAAAGGTTAGTGTTAGGTAAATTAATCAATTAATTAAAATTACAATTAAATCTGTTACTTGAAATTAGTATTTCCAAGTATACTATTTTTGATTATTCCAACAATTGATTAATAAAAAGTAGGGTTGATTGTCACAGAAATACCCAATTAATCAAAATTAGTGTTTCCAATGATTACTATTTTTTCTTTTTAATACCCTCGAGTGCCTGTGTAATGATTTATTCTACCAGTCCATACTGGTGTGTAGAGTTTGTAGTAGTATTTGACAACTGATGCCTTCATTAATGGATTACACTTGACTAATAGACTAGTACAGTGTTCCTCAAACCATGGTACCTATAAACAAGAAAAACTAAAAAGAACTGGCAGTCGGTGCTGCCAGACAGTTGCCTCCCCTCTATTCAACAGTTCAACAACAACAACAACAAATGAAGAAATAAAAAAAATGTTTTTGACAGATTTTGTCTTCACTCTGGTCAGTAACTAGATGTTGCCTTCACTCTAGTCAGTAACTAAATATTTGTGATATGCAAATAGTCTTAATGGCTTTGCCGTAACAAAGACAGTAAGTTTGGTGACAATATTTTGATTACTTGAAAAGTTGTAATAATTAAAAATAGTAATCATTGGAAACACTAATTTTGATTAATTGGGTATTTCTGTGACAATCAACCCTACTTTTTATTAATCAATTGTTGGAATAATCTTACTCAATTATAAAACAAAAAACAAGTGCCAAATCCAATAAAATCTCAAAATTCTGTTGTTGTTGGGTGTTTTTTTGGGGGGAGGGATCAAACTCTCCTGTTAAAGTACCATTCTGCCAGTACATGCTGATGTAACATAGATTTATTTAACCCTAAACTTATCGACTTGCTTATATACCATTCACTTCTAGTATGATGGTACACGTACTTCAGCCTATTGGTTAATTTTATGTTTTTGCATGTTCCAACACTCGGTGTAAAGAACTGACAAAAAATAAAGTGGGCAAAGTCATTTGTTTTCTATGTATAATACATAAAGGATTCCAGCAGTAGTTAATGGGGTTCATTTTAACATTATTGTTAACATTTTTTATATGTGTATGATGTTATTAGGGACTTTACTAATGAAGTTATGGACCCACAGCAATATTGTGCAGAAAAATATGGTTTTAAAAGCCAATGGGGCGTTGGTCATTCTGGTGTTAAAATTCTCATTTCAAGTACTTTAAAATACTTACATTTTGGATTTCATTTCGAACACTGATAGGACAAATATGATCTGATTTGATATTGCAACATCTGAGGAAATTCAATCGGATATTAATCTTGCATCTACACTAATGTATACCTGAAACTGTTACACAGATGTGATACTACTTGTACTTGCAGAACACAAAAGGTGTGGCATCTATACACCTGGAAAAAAGTTAAGCACCCCCGTGTTTTTTTCAAGTGATTCAGATTCGACGTTCTTGTGACTGATTAT